TTATTTGTTTTCCGTGCCTTTCTGCATACAATTCACGCTTCAGGCACAATCCCCCCCAGCATGCATCGTATTTCTTCTGCCAGAAAAAGAAAAAGTTTTCTCAATAAATAACAAATCTAGTAAAACTCTTTTGTAATAGCCAGTGTCTAATTGGAAAATATTGATATGTAAGATTAGATTAAAGGCCCTGAGAATAAATTACCCTTCATTTGTACTTTAATGTTTTGTTAGTCATATTCCTGAATGCTAAGCTGTGCATTGCTTTGCCGCAGGTGTGAGCTCGCGGCTGTGTTTCTGCTCAAGGCCCCATGGAGCCTGACGTGACACACATCTACTCCTCCTCTCCACCCCCGATGGAGGACGGCATCGAGGATGAGGATGACGAATTTAGCGACTTCACCGGCGTCCCGAACAGCACCAGCTTCGACACGCCCACCACATTCGACCAGTCTCAGGCTTTGAACGCCACTTCGCCGCCGGAGCTGCTGAGCAATGGGAGGATCGTGGGACTGTCCTCTCAACCCACAGGGTCTACGAAAGCTAACGGCGTGACGCCTGGCTCTGGCCAAACCGCCACGCCCAATGGCAGAATGGTTAGCGTCGAGGAACTCAAAAAGTTCAGCGAGCACCAAGCTCACATCGCATCCCTGGAGTTCGCAACGGGGTCTCGGACTGACAGTGACTGCAATGGCACAGTTGAAGTGCTCACGAACGGGTTTGCGACATTAGACCAAGGTGGAAGCCCACCTACGCCACACAAAACCAACGAATTTGATGTCAGTCCAGATGATTTTGCAGATTTCTCTGCCTTTTCAAATGCTGAACACAACCAGCCTTCAGAGACAGACTGGGAACATTCTAATCAAGGGTGTATACCGCCACAGAATGATGCTAACGACAGCATTGAAGAGCGAGGAACTAGTTTAGAAGACAATAGCAGGGACTCGAGAAACGCAGGGTTTGGATTCTTTTCGGAAAACTCTGAAAGTCTCAGCAACGGTGACTGGGGTTTCCATGAAGGGTCGGATTTAGATAGAAGGGAGCTAGAAGCTGATACTACTGAAGTCGTTAGCTCGGTGCAACCGCTAGCCCTTAATGGTGTCACTTTTAGTGAAACCGATGAGAACAGGGTGTCGCCTGACTCTACTGGGGATAAGTCTAGTGGCAAACAATCAGATGAGAAAGGCTCAGAGAATGAGACTTTAGAAACGGAAACGGAGACGTCCTTTGGTCGGCCGCTATCGACAGACGCGCTCGAAGAATTCGGTGACTTTAGCACGACGGGATCCGTACCCTCGCCT